TGTACCATGGTCTGCCAGAAAAATGAACAAATTTGTCTTGGAAGTACAGCTGGAATGCTCCTTAGAAGTGAGGATGATGACACTTTATCTCTCATACTTTAGTCATGTTATCAGGAGGGACCAGTCCCTGGAGAAGAACATCATGGTTGGTAAAGCAGAGGTTCAGTGAAAGAGAGGAAGACCTTCAACAAGATGGACTGACACAGTGGCTACAAGAATGGGCTCAAAAAACAGCAGTCATTGTGTATGGTGCAGGACTGGGCAGTATTTTTGTTCTGTTGTGCATAGGTTTGCTATAAGTTGGAAATGACTCGATAGCACTTACCAACACCACTACCAACAACACTGTAATACCAAGCCCAAAGAATCCAGAATGTTAACTAATCTACATTTTAAAAAACAATGATTTGTATCTCTATCAAAGCCTCATATAGAGCTTCAAAAGACCTACTAAAAAGGCTTAGATGAAGACTTTTCTTTCTCAGTTCCTCATAATGGCATACCCACTTCCAAATTATATTTGTAGGCATTGTTGTTTGTTATTGTTGGTTGCCATCTAGTCGGCTCCTACTCATAATGATCTTATGTATAACAGAATGAAATACTGCCTGGTCCTGTGCCATGTTCATGATGGTTGGTATGTTTGAGTCCATTGCTGTGGCTATTTGTTGGCATTACTCATCTTCAAAACAAATTCTGAAATATTTGTCTTACCTTTACCTTTGCTTTGAATTTTCTATCTACCACCCATCTATCAAGAGCTCTGATGGCACAGTACTTAAGGCATGTTACTGCTAACCAGAAAGCTGATGGTTCAAACCCACCAGTCACTCCTCGGAAGGAAGGTTGGGCAATCTACTTCTGTAGAGATACCGCCTTGGAAACCCAAGGAGGGGTCGCTAAGAATTGGATCCGACTTGACGGCAGTGAATTGTAGTTGTTATCCATTTGTCAGTCTGTTATACTGGAGCTTGAAGGTCACTATGATGTTGGAAGTTATGCCACCAGTATTCAAATACCAGCAGGGTCACTCATGGTGGACAGATTTCAGCTGAGATCCCACACCAAGATAGAGTAAGAAGAAAGGCTTGGTGACCTATTTCTAAAAATTAGGCAATGAAAACACTATGGATAACAACAGAATATTGTCCAATATAGTGCTGGCAGAGGACCCCCTAGGTTGGAAGGCAGTCAAAATACACAGGAGCTGCAACAATGGACTCGAGCATACTAACAACTGTGAAGATGGTACGGCACTGGGCAATGCTTTGTTCTGTTGTACATGGGGTCGCCATGAGCTGAGTCAACAGCAACTAATAACAAATATTCTTACTATTTCTCACTAGATGGGTATTTAGTTAGAGCCTTTTATTCATCACAAAGGAAAGACTGATGTAAATGGTGAGACAGAAACTAAAAGACTGAGGAAATCTATGAAATTCAGAAGAAAATAAGTAATAGACACAGCAACCTCATAGTGTTAAAAGCACAGACTTTGAAATAAGACAGACCTAGAGTCACATGTAAGGAAGGAACTCTGGTGGTGCAGTGGCTAAGGCATTTGGCTGCTAACCAAAAGGTCAGAAGTTCAAACCTACCAGCAGGTTTGTGGGAGAAAGATGAGGCAGTATGCTTCTGCAAAGATTCACAGCCTTGGAAAACCTACAGGGTTGCTATGAGTTGGAATCTACTCGATGGTAGTGGGTTTGGTTTTGGTAGGTTCACATGTGGGCCCAACTAATTACTACCTTTGTGATCTTTGGGACATCAACATCTTTGAGCATGAATTTCTTCTGTAAAATGAGGACAATTTCACCTCAAAGAACAGTAATAAGGATTATATAAAATCTTTAGTATAATATATAATATATAATAAAATCTCAGTAAATGGTCTCTATTAATATCACACAGATTAAATATGTTGTTAGTTGCTGTCCAGTTGGCTCCGACTCATCGTAAACTTATATAAAACAGAATGAAATGTCCAGTCCTGTGTCATCTTCATAATCATTGCTATATTTGAATCCATTGTGGGGCTATTATGTCAATTCACTGAGAATTTCCCTCATTTTTGTTGACCTATTCTTTATCAAACATGATGTTCTTTTCTAGTGACTGATCTTTTCTGATGGCATGTCCAAGGTACACTAGTCGAGATCTCGCCATCCTTGATTTTAATGAACATTTTATTTATTTCTTTGAAGATCGATTTGTTCGTTCCTCTGACAGTCCACAGTATATTCAATTACTCTTTGCCAACACAGTTTGAACACATCAATTCTTCTTCTGTTTTCCTTTCTCACTATTCAAGTTTCACATGTGTATGAGGTTTAGAGACTTACCTCAGTCATCAAAATGACATCATTGCTTTTTAGAACTTTAAAGAGATCATTTGCAGCAGCTTTGCCCACTGTAATATATTGTTCGATTTCTTGACTGCTGCTTCCATGGACATTGATTGTTGATCCAAGTAGAATGAAATCCTTGACAAATGCAATTATTTTCTCCGTTGATCATGCTTTTGATTATTGGTCCAGTTGTGAAGATTTCTGTTTTCTTTATGTTCAGATGTAATCGATACTGAAGGCTGCAGTCTTTGACCTTCATCAGTAAATGCTTCAAGTTGTTTTCATTTTTGGTGAACAAGGTTGTGTGATCTGCATATTGTAGGTTGTTAATGAGTCTTCCTCTAATCCTGATGTCATGTTCATTTTCATATATTCTGGTTTCTCAAAGTATTTGTTCAGCATGCATACTGATTAAGTAATATGAAAGAATACAAGCCTGTAACACACTTTTCCAATTATGAACCATGCAGCATCAGCTTGTTCTGTCTTAATGAGTGCCTCTTTATCCAGGTACAGGCTCTATGTGCGCACGATTAAGTGATCTGGAATTCTAACTCTATGTAATGTTATCCATAATTTGCTATGACCCACACAGTCGAATGCCTTCATGTAGTCATAGGTAATCATCTTTCTGGTATTCTCTGCTTTTGGCCAAGATTAATCTGACAACAGCAATGATATCCCTCATTTCATGTCCTCTTCTGAATCCTCCTTGAACTTCTAGAAGATTCCTGTCAATGCATAGCTGCAGCTGATTTTGAATTACTTTCCATAAATTTTGCCAGCATGTGATATTAGTGATATTGTTCGATAATTTCTGCATTCTGCTTGATCGTCTTTCTTTGGAATGGGCACAAATATGGATCTCTTCCATCTTCCAGTCAGTTGGCCAGGTAGCTGTCTTTTAAATTTCTTGATATAGATGAGTAGACAGCCAGTGTTGTATTTGTTTGTTGAAGCATCTCCATCAATGCCTGGAACCTTGTTTTTCAGATTAATGTCTTGCAAAATTAGTACTTAGCCCTGCAATATCTTATCTATGACACAGCATGAATGGAATGAGAGTGATGGTGGTAGGAAAAAGTTTTTTTCTATTCTTTAGTGAATAAAAATATCTTTGATGAGATCTGACTTGTTAAAATACTCTTATCTTTTGTGATGTTTCATAAATAACAAGAATGATGATGGAGCAACACACCACCATGTTCTAGGCTGGGTTGTATTGGTATTTAAATGTTGAGGGGTAAGTGTATACTTTTAATTACCTCCAAAGTATATTCCAAATATGTCTGTACCTTTCATTTAATTGTTATCTCCCTAGATGAAGCTCTCATTATCTCTCATCAGGACTACTACAATAACCTCCTCACTAGTTCCCTGCTTCTATTCTTACTACCCTCCAAGCCATTATCTATCACTAGCTAGAATGACATTTTAAAAATATGAATCAGATTATGCTCCTCCCTAATTATAACCCCTCAGAATAAAACCCAAACTCCTTTATCATAGCCTTTGTGGTACCTAGCCTCCAAGATGGCCTCCATCACCCCCATTTCCTGGTGTCCACACTCTTCTGTAGCCTCTCTTCCATACTGTACCAAAGCTGCTCTGTGTGACCAATAGCATACACCAGAAATTATGGTGTGTTATTTCAAAATTAGATTAGTAAGGCTGCAGCATCTACTTTGGGCACTATCTCACTCCCTTGGATCATTCTCGCCAAAGGAAGCAAGCTAGCATGTTATGAGCAGCCTGTGGTGACACCATGTGGAGAGCAAGCCAAGCCTCTGGTCAACAGCCAGCAAGGAACTGAGGCCTGTCAACATTCCCACGAGCAAGCTAAGAAGTAAATTCTCCAGCTCCAGTAGAGCCTTAAGATGACTGCAACTCCAGCCAACACCATGGCTGCAATTTTAGGAGAGCCCTTAAGGCAGAACCACCCAGCTAAGCCACTTCCAGATTCTTGACCCAGAGAAACTATGTGAGATGTTTGTGGTTTTTCAGCTGTTATGTTTTGGAATAATTTGTTACATAGCAATAGATAGCTAATACAGCCTACAAAAGACCAGATGACCTATTGTCTACTTCTCCAATCTTATTCACATCATTCTCTTCCTGCTTATTATGCTCCAGTTACATAGGCCTTCTTTTGACTCCTACAAAGGATTGAGCTTTTTTCCCCTTACTACATGAAATGCTCATACTCCCAATATCTGAGTGGATGGTTGCTCTTCATCCTTCAATGATTCCCCAACACATGACTACCCTTTTCTAACATATATCCTGTCTTCTTCACCTGGCATCCTATTTACTTCATAGCACTAATTACAACTGTAATTTGCTTTGCATGCATTAGAATGTATGCTCCAAGACAGCAGGGACTGTATCTATTATATTATTCATTGTATTCCCTATATTAGTCAGGGCATGGCACAGAGCAGGACCTAACTAAACACTTACTGAATAAATAACAAATTAAAACTTTTTTTTTTTTTTTGTAAAAACAAAACAAACAAAGAACTCACTTCAGATATTACACTACAGTAATAGAGGCCAGACATTCCCATAGTAAGCTTCAGTAGGAAGGTTCTTGTTTGTTAGTGGGAATATAATTTTATAATGATAACAAGAGAGAGTGTATAGTATACTTACTTGATTTTGGCGACAACAAGCAAATCATTGAACAGGAAAAGATGGCGCTCCTGCCTCTGCAGGCCTCTTTTGAGTTCTACCCAGCCATCAATCAATAGAGTCCTACTGGAGCACGCAAATGATGACAGAAATGCACATGTGTCCACACTAGCAGATGGACTCTCCCTGTTAACAGATCAAACACCATGGATCAGTTAGTCATATGATTAAATATAGCATTTAGTTTTTATAAAATTATAGCTGATAGTTGGTCAAGAAATATAAAACTCAAGTACAATTTTTTAAATGCAATGGTACACCTTCCTAGTCTATTTTCCATACAGTAGTCTTTTTCCCTTTAACACTTTATTATGAAATTTTTCAAACATAAAGCAAGGTTGAGATAATTTTATAATCAACACCTGTATATTCCAACTAGATTCTGCCATTAATAATTTACTGTTATTTACTTTATCATATGCCTTTCCAACTTTCTACCATTCCATTTATTAATCCATTTTATTTTGGTACACTTCAGTGTAAATTTCAGACAATACTACACATCCCCTAACTAGTACTTCAATGTGCATATAATTAACTGAAGGTCAAAATTTATTCATAAATTTTCTTTTGATATAAAATTTACATACATGAAATTCATACTTCTTAGGTGTATATTCACGGACTTTTTTTAAAAAAATGTTTATTGTGATTTGGGTGAAAATTTACATAGCAAATTGACTTTCCATACAGCAGCTCACATACACATTGTCTCATGACATTGACTACAATTACCACATTGCAACAACTTCCCTCCCAGTTTCTCCCCATAGTTACCTGTTCCCTGTGTCCTTCCCTCCCATGCACTCCTGCCCCCCCCCCCGAGCTATCTCCCTGTGCATTCACTGCCTTTCTATTCTATGCTTGATCTCTCCAAGGAGTGTATCTACCTAATGTAAATGTTCAGCTCATATGCCTGTCTTTTGTTTGGCTGGAAGCCACAGGAGTGGGTTCAATTCCAGAAAAGAAGGACATCTAGGGGCCATAGTTTCAGTGGTTCCATCAGGCTCTATCAGACTAGCAAACTTGGTCCTTTTTTTTTTTTTTTAATACAATTTTGAGTTTTGTTCCCCATTATTCTCCTGCTCTATCCAGGATCTCCTACACAGATCCTCCTCCTAGTGTTGACAGTGGTAGCTGGGCACCATCTAGTTCTTCTGTTTTCATAGTCATATAGGCTGAGGATCACATGGTGTACCAGTCGCTTGGACTAATTGTTTCCATGCATCTTTGATTTCTTCATTCTTCTTTGCCCTGGCCGAGTAGAGACCCATTGCTGCATCTAGATGGCCACCTGCAAGCTTTTAAGATCCCAGTTGCTACTCGCCAAAGTAGGATGTGGAATAATGTTTTAGTGTAGGATGTGGAATAATATTTTTGTGTAGTATGTTATGCTAGTTGAGCTTGATGTCCCCTGAGACTATGGTCCTGAGCTCATGGGTCCAACTACTCACTGCCTCTGGGTAGCTGGCTTTGCCCAAGAAGTGACTACAACCTTGTCTCTTGTCAGCTCTATTATATTCCTGGGAATTCTTACAGAACATACAAGTACACTTGTAGAAACACTGTCTGCCAATCTTATACATGGTCTTGGGCATACTCCCCCCTGCATAGACATACCTAATTGTTCAGCCTGTCCATCCATCTATCCATATATCAATGTTTGCCATCACTGACAACACAGTACTGTATGTGCAAAAGGGTTCATTTTTGTTGTTCATCCCATGCACTTCTCTACATCTTTCTCTGCCTCAGTGCCACTAAGTTGATCACTCACATTTGGTACGTTGCCCCTCCCTTCACCCAAATCAATACTTGTCTCTACCTATCCAACAGTGTTCCCTCCCCTCTCCTCCCACCCATGGTAACTAACAAAGAAAATGTCTTGCCATATATAAAACTTTCCTTGACTATTTACAATAACAGACTAATACAGTATTTGTCATTCTGTGATTGACTTATTGTACTCAGCATAAAGTCCTCCCAGTTTATCCACGTTATGCAGTGTTTCTCAGATTCTTTAGGGTTGCACAGTATTCCACTGTGTGTATGTATCATAGTTTGGTTATCCATTCTTCTGTTGATGGGCACCTAGGTTGTTTCCATCTTTTTACTATTGTAATAGCACTGCGATGAACATGGGTGTGCATATATCTGTTCTTGTCCTGGATCTCACTTCTTTTGGATATATACCTAGTAATGGAATGTGTGGGTAAAATGGTATTTCTAATTCCAACTTTTTAAGGAGGTGTATATTCATGGACTTTTATCAAATGTATTCACCTGTGTAGTCTACAAGCCCATCAAAATTCCATCTTGCCCCTTTCTAGTTAATCCCCTTCTCATCACTCCAAAGGCAATCAGTCTTCTGATTTTTTCCTATTGAATATTAGTTTTATCTCTTCTAGAATTTCGTATAAATGAAATCACACTACATACTCTTTTATGTAATGTATCTGCTATCAGTATGTTTTTAGGGTTCATTCATGTTATGTATCTCAGTAATCTGTTCATTTATGTTGCTGAGTAGTATTCCACTGCATAAATTATTTGTTTATTTATTCTCCTATTATAAGTGTTGTTCCCCCCCCCCCTTGTGCTATTAATGATAAAGCTGCAATTTAACATGGTTGTGTTGTTCTTTTTGTGACCTACCATTTCATTTCTCTTGGGTAAATACCTTAGTGTGGAATTGCTGGGTCACAGAATAGCTGTATGTTCAATTTTAGAAAAAACTGTGAGCTATTTTTTCCAAGATTTGTACCATTTTACATTCCCACCAACACTGTATGAGAATTCCAGTTGTTCTACAACCATGTCAACATTTGGTATTGTCAGTCTTTTGAATTTTAGTCATTCTAGTGGATATATGAGAGCTCTGGTAGCATAGTGCCTAAGGC